GTACGTGCCCGGACTAGGGACCAAACCTGTAACCTAGGTATGTGCCCTGGCCAGAAATCAAACCTGAAACCTTTTGGTGTACGGGATGACACTTCAACCAACTAAGCCACTCAGCCAGGGATCAAGGACATTTCTTTTATAGGTCACTGTCTCAAATCATGCTTTAATTTTAGCCTATCAATGGTATTATGATACCATGACCATCTCCCACTGCTGTCCCCGTATTTATAATATGATACCAGGTAATAAGCAAGACTGTGCTAATAAAAAGGTTCCCTTGCATTTCCAGTAACTAAACTTCATTGGTTTTAAGGCATACCCATAATATAGTACTGTATCAAAGTTTGGATGATAGTAGGTGATGTTACATAAAAGTAAGAGTACAGTAATAATAGTAAAGTGTAATCATAAGTTAATGTTATAGTACAAATAGTATAGATGTTCCATGAAAGTAGTAGTGTAGAAAGTAACAGAGTGATATAAGAGTACAGATTTGGAATTTGGTCTGTTTGGGATTTTGGAAATGTTCCATCTAGAACAAAAATAAGAGGTCTAATATACGGTCAGTTAAATTAAGTCTCCAAAATGAAGTGATAAAAGCTTTAAAGAACTTTAAAAATTAAATTTATTTCTTAAGGCTTAAATATCTTTTTTGGTGAAAACATTTTGACTAGGAGATGGAAATAAAAAACTAAGAGCGTGCCCAGCTGGCATGGCTCAGTGGTTGAGTGTCGACCTATGAACCGGGGGGGTCATGGTTGGATTCCCAGTCAGGGCACATGCCTGGGTTGCGGACTTGATCTCCAGTAGGGGGCATGCAGGAGGCAGCTGATCAACAACTCTCATCATTGATGTTTCTCTCTCTCCCTTCCTCTCTCTGAAATCAATAAAAACATATAAGAAAAGAAAAAACCAGAGTAAAATGGACAACATTACTAAATCCTATAGATGATATCTGATAACAGTCTCTGTCAATGTGGTAGACCATAGTATCACATAAAATTTTTTTTAATCACAAATAAGACCTTTTTTTGGAATCTTAAGTGAAAAGTCTAAGAAATGCAAAACAGAATCTATCAAATGGAATAATTATTTCAGAATAATAACATCAAATTTCCATTAATGGTTTTTTAAAATGGCATTTAAAAAATCTTGATAGTACTCAAAACTAAGCTAATCCTTGGTCAGTATCCTGGAACAGAAAATGCAGGTAGCACTAAAAAGACAAACCAATGCTTCAAATATAAATAAGTCTAATGGAATAGATATAAAAGCTAGATCTATAGTAGAGTAGAACCAAATTTTAGATATGAGTTCCTTTAACTTTTAGGTTTGTGGTAGATTGTAAATCATAGCCACAATATTTTACAGTTCCTCCTATCAAAAGGTGGGTTCTAGTTCCTCATGCCAAGTGACTTGCATTTTTACAGGCGTTGCCCAAAAGAATTTGAGGGAGTGATATTATGTGAGTCATGAGCCTAGGCATTATGAAGTCAGCAGTCTCTGCTTTTGCATTTTGGGGATCTGGCAACCATGCAAAGATCTTGGGTTAAATTACTAAATAATAATGCACCATGTGCCCTGGCCAGGTAGCTCAGTTGGTTGGAGTGTCATTCCATACACCAAAAGGTTGCAGGTTCGATTCCCAGTCAGGGCACATACCTAGGTTGCAGGTTCTACCCCTGGTCTGGGTGCATGTGGGAGGCAACCAACAGATGTTTCTGTCTCACATTGATGTTTCTTACTCTCCCTTCCTCTCTCTCTGAAAGTCAATAAAAACATCCTCAGGTGAGAATTTAAAAAATAATTAATGAATAAATAAAATAATATGCACCAAGAGAGGAGAAAGCTGAATAGCTGGAAGCCATCCCTGCCATCTCCATCAGTCGAAGTGCCAGGCATGTTAGTGAAGCCATTTTTGACCCTCTAGCCCAGTTAAATAGCTCTAGCCAACCCCAGGTACAATAGAGATTAGCCATCCCCATTGTTTCCTGCTCAAATTACAGAATCAAGAGCAAATAAATGGCTGGCCACTGCATAATGAAGGGGTTCATTATGAGCAATAAGTAACTGCTACAGAGTCTAAGTTCTAACTATGAGCGCTAACTTAAACATTTCAAGAATCCATCAAATTCATTAAAAAATAATTCTAATTGTAAAAGACTGTGATGATAAAAAATGTATCACCATCACTACTGTACACATTTTTATGAGTTTAACAATGACAAAAAAAATTACACTTCAAGTCTCATTAGATGGGAAATCTATTAGGTCAGCATACAAGGGGAGTGATCTTTGATTAAATATAACATAATCATTTTGAATTTGGAAACAATAAGCAATTTTTAGAAGGATAAAAATTATAGAAAGAAAACATGTTGTGACCTTAACAGTGGGGTGAGCTTTAACATGACTGCAGCACGTGTGTATGCGCCTGTTATACATACACACACACATACATACATAATTTAATATATATAAATATGTAGTATTATATATTCTTAATGAAGTTAAATATATTTTTTCAAATATTAGTTGATGATTTATAGGAAAAGAGAGTATCCTTTCAATAAACACTGTTTTGCTACCAGGACTGTTAGCTGCCTGCATACTCATGGGAGTAGAGATAATGAACAGATTATAATTTTGTAAAAAAAATAATAACTTAGTAGGAATTAGGTTCATAGCTATCTAAGGCATTGGAAGGTTTTAGGGACCAGGCCAGAACTCTCCTTGTTTCTCTTGTATGTTTTTTTAAATATTAAAACCCATCTATTCCCTTTACTATTTTTAATTCTCAACACATTTTCAGCTACATATGGCTATCCTGGTCATCTTTACCCTCTATGGATAGGGTGGAAATAGGGAAGAGCAACATAGTAATCAGAAAAGCAAAGGTTCCAAGTCATGGGAAAAACTACTTAATTATAGTACTACATTAATGAAATATGTTACTCTAGAATGGGTTGGCAAACCTTTTCTGTAAAGGTCCAGAAAGTAATTACTTAGGCTTTGCAGTTCATATGGTCTCTGTTGCAAGTACTCAACTATGTTCTTTTAGTGTAACAATAATAATAAATGAATGGGTGTGACTGTGTTCCAGTAAATTTTATTTACAAAAAGGCTGCAGGCTGGATTTGGCATGCAGGCCATTGTTTTGCAAACCCTTGCTTTAGAAGAATAACGTTTTTCTTTTTTCTTCAAATTTTTTTTTAAACTAGAACAGTAACTTAAGAAAAATATAATCTGCAACAAAAACATGCAATGTCACTATACCATTTACCAGGTTTGAAACTTCAGGAAAGTTATTAAACACCTCTCTGTGCTTGTTTTCTTATCTGTCAAGTGGAAACAAAAATTTGTACCTTAAGGGGTGTTGAAAGGATTTAGTAACTGAACACATAAAGCAAGCAGGAAAATACTCAGTAAACTGGTAGAATTCAATAAAGTCCCCTGCATAAACCAGTAAGGCTTACTTGAATATATTATAAAATTTCCGTTTTGTCTTTACCTACTTACCAGCATCCTTGATGATCCTACAGCAATGGGTTTATCTTTCAATTCGGGATTGTCCCTCATTTCTACAGCTGCATAGAAAGCATCCATGTCAATGTGCACTATGGTATTGCTCAGATCCCGGTTCTGTTCCAATTCCATTGCAAATTTGTCAACCTTAATTTTTAAAAAGTTAACATACTTTTGACAACATAATATTATAATACTACTAATCTTAACGTTAATCTTTTACTAAGTATCTGTCTGTCGGTGTTCATCTATCCATCCATCTGCCCACCCAGCCACCTATTGATGTATATTTGCTTATTGTTTCTTAAGGCTGAGCATTGCTTTAATTTTCACAAACATAGGCAGTCTGTTCTCAAATATCATTTCCTATCAACTCTTACATTTCTCAATACTCATAAGTACAAGAGGTTACTCAGTATTGAATGAATAAACTATTCCAGCTGCTTATAGCAAATGCCTCTACTGCTTTATAAATCTGGAGAACTTACTGTAACTACAAGCTTCAGTTTAGGTAAAATAAACAACTACTCCCATCTGACTCATAATATTCATGTCTTAAAATAGCAACAAAGGAAATGAACAACAAAAGATTATACCAAAGCATATGTAAACATTCCCTCTGTAGAACTGCTTTCATAATGCTAAAATTTTATAACTTACTTTATACAAATCAAATTGAAAATTTAAGGTGTAATTTATTCTTTCATAAAATTTCAATATATGTGTCAAATATAACAGTAAAGAATCTTAATCTTTAAAGAATTTTTTTGTTTCTTTAGAGAGAAAGAGTTGGATCAGTAAGAAGAAATGGAAAGGGGTAGAAATAAGCAAAGTAGGGCTGTCAGAAAAGGGTTTATGTTGCAGATGCAAGCATTCCCAAGTGTTCCTTCTTTGTGTCCTCCATAGAGGCTGAAAAAGCTAAATACACACTTTCTCAGTTTCCCTCCAGCTGGGGGTGGCTGAGTGACTTTTTGATCTATGACACACATGAAAAAGTCAATAAAACCAGCAAAATTGTGAGAAGAGAGGTTAGAAAACTATTCCTGAAAGGATCAATGAATAGGTGTATAACAAAACAATAAAAAAATTGGAAAAACAGCCAGAAACATGTAAGTGGGGTGATCTCCGGAATAAAAGCAATTTCCATCATGTGGAAATCCCCATAGCAGGTTTCCTCAAAGGTGGAAAGTTACAAGGGTATAATTTAGCTTTTTCCCTCGTTGGACTTCAACCTTGCTACTAGCATTGCTTCTTAGCATTATAGTGACACTAGCTGCCCACTAGCTGCAGGTTAAGACTGCAAGTTCTCTTTTAGGAACAATCACACCGAATCACATTTGTCTCTAGCAGCCACAGTAACTCTAGGGTCTGCTCCTATTTAGGCTGCAACTCACTAAACAACCTGGGGTGCTCTGTGCCCTCTTCAGGCTGCTTCTCTTTTTTTTTTCTCTTCTTTATCTTTATTGTTGAAAATATTACAGATGTCCCCTTTTTACCCTCATTGATCCCCTCTGTTGAGAATGCCCTTCCTAGTTCTGTCCCAAAGCCTTCAAGTATCAGTTGAGATATATCTCTGAAACTTAACTGAATATCTGTCCTTTGTACCACAGGATTTAATGTCCCCTTATTAGTTTTCCTGTTTTATTACGGCACTTATTGTATTAGATACTAAATTGTGACCTTAGCTCAGATAAGGAGGAGAAAGAACTTATCTGCCTTTAAATTCTTTCCACATAAGAAAGAAAGGGGAGAAAAGGAATAAAATTTACATATTTACATATATACATACATAAAATGTAAATATATACACACATGTATAGATCTCTCTGGTTAAAAAGAGAAGGTAGCATTTCTAGAAAAAGTTTGGAGAAGGCTGATCTTATGCAGTGAGACACCACACCTAATAAATGAGACTTGTCAACATTAATCCAATTTATTATCCAGATTTAAAACAACTATTCTTCCAGTTTAATTTTACACTAGAGAATAGCATCTGGACATAAAAAAAAGATATAAGCAAATCATGAAATCATGGAAACTAATAAAAACAAGGGTTTGAAAACTACTCGATATTAATCCAGAAAATATGCCTAAGATACGAGTCGATTGAGAATGAGAGAGCAGCATCTGAAATATCTTAACCCAGAATCATTGGAAAGAGATAATAAATAGAAAGCAAACTAAATGGGATAAACTCTCCTTAGACTCATATATTAAAGCGATGGCAGTTTCTTCAGCAATCTATTGACTTTTCTGGGCTTACAGCAAGCGTACAGTTGCCAAAAGGAAACCTCCCGCTGATGACTCATGCATTCCATTTTCCTTTGCTGTCTCTCATTAGTCACCCTTCTCTGAACTCCTTTCTTTCAACATCTACCAAATGCCCACCACTGCACTTTTCAAGTTTCTTCTATTGAAATCCTCATTCAGGTTTTCCTTTCTTCCATTTTTCCGTCCAAATAACTTCCAAGTTTTGACCTGAGCCTCTAACATGTATGCTATCCCTTTTGCTACACTTGAGATCCAGTATGTGTCACAATAGTTAAGAATAATGGCTTTTGTTCCAGTCTCAGCTCTGCCACCAATTAGTTACATGACAATGTAACTATCCTCCCTCCTCGCTTTCCTTATTTGTAAAACAGAACTAAACCAACCTCAAAAGGTTGAAAGAATTAAAGGCATACCCATGCTGTGTACTGACCCAGGGATGTTGTAAGGGCTTAATGATATTACCTATAATTTTTAAAAGTAGAAGTGACATTTACTGAGTATATTATATGACACGTGTATATTTTAAGTGCTTTTTATGTTAATGCACTTAATGGCCAAAGTAATTCTGAGATAATGATTACTATTCCCATTTTACAGATAAGGAAACTAAAACTCAGTAAAATTAAGTAATTTGGCTAAGTCATACAGCTGGTAAAAGTTAGGATTAGACCAGGAAACAAGGTTACTCCAAAGTCTGTGCTCTTTCCATTATTTTATGGATTTTTAAGTTTTTATCACTGAAATAAGCTCAAACCAAACTCTAATGGTATATTTTATATCCATATTATGACTTAACTTTAAAAAAATCCTCTTTTTCTATTACATCTAGGAGGCCACTTCAGGAATAATATTTTTCATTTTCTTAATTGGTATTACTCTAACAATTATTGAGTAAATCTGAGTTCATAAAAATCAATTGTTTAAATGGTCAAAATGCACTGATTTGCTGTGTAGGTTGCCATTTTCTATAATATGGATGTTTGTCTATTCAATTCATGAATCCCTGTTATAATAAGATGATTTAGCAGCTACAAAAATGTGCCTTTAAGAAATCTAATGAGGATGGGATAGGGTGGGGAACACATTGAGAGGTTTTGAATAAATATCATGGGAGTTCATGCCTACAGATATTACTTACCTCAGCTTGACTGGCAATAGTTCATATTATCTTATCACACATAACAAAATCTACTATTTGGAAATTTTATGACTTTAAAATAGAAACACATTTCCTATGAAAACCTCTCTGTTCTCTCAGAACTTCTTAGGACTTCCTCAATACCCTCCCATTTATACAACTTCTTTTAAAGGAAGCTTAACAAACAAAACAACAATTTAACAATCAACATAAAACACATTTCCTGTCATTCCCCTTGCAGAAGATGACAGAGAGATTCCCATGAAATAGTCAACTAAAACTGTAACAAAAGCTGAAGCTCTATTACACAATGTAAAGGTATTCTCTAGTCCTCCAGATTATTAGCATATTTAAAAATAGGAGCTTTAAAATTAGTATGAACAGCAAAAAGTTGTTATATTGCACCACTCACTCTTTAAAACTTAAAGATATTTGTACACTATAGATGAATAAAACTTACCAAAAACGGTCTAAAAAGTAAATTGCCTAAGGATTAATATCAATTTAAAGATAATGTTCTTGTAGACAGAAGGGAATTTTTAGAAAACTTGGTGAAATTATGCTTAAATTAATTTAAAAGAATGCATGAGAAAAACAAAAAATGTTAAAGAAGAGTAGTGAAGAAGAGTATTAAACTATATTATTGTCATTTAATAACTAAAACTGCATGGTACTGATACAGGAAAAGATTCAGTTGATTAGAAGAGAGTCCAGAAGCAAATCCAAGTACAATGAGAGCTTAGTACATAAACATGCCTCTTCAAGTCAGTGGAGAAAGAACTCATGATTCAATAAATGATGTTGGGACAAGAGAATTATTACTTAGGAAAAATAATACCATTTAGGGTATTATTTAAGAACAAAAATACTTCACACCTTACATCAAAACAAATTCCAAAGACACTAAAGTTTTGAGTATAATAAAATCTACAAAAATACTAAAAGAACATACTGGCTTGTTTGTGAGGAATAACCTCTATGTATAATACCAGAGCCAAGAAAAATTTAGAAACTACTGTTGGATTTGTTTACATAAACATTTAAAACTATATTGGGGGTGACCTGCAAAATTAAAAGATAATAAACTGAAAAAATATTTACAACAAATGGCAGATATAAAATCCTTAATATATGATAAGATCTATAAATCAAGAGAAAAAAGATACAAACTCCTCTAGAAACGCAGACAGAGGATATTGCTTTGGACTGCTAGTTGAGTCCCCAAATCCATTCTCTCTTCCTCCTATAGTAATAGATTTTTAGCCATGCACATGGCCACCCGGTTGTATTTCACAGCTTCTCTTGCAGTTAGGTGTGACCAGGAAACTTAAATTCTTGCCAAAAGAATGTGAGCTGAAGTAATGTGTGTAACTTCCTTTTCACTTGTGTGATAGCAAATTATTTGCCTTTGACTTTTCCCTTGTTCTTTCTTCCTTACTAGGGGCTGGAATATGGATTGGGGCTAATCCAGTTTCATCAATTCCAGTAAGGATTCACACTCTGGAATGATGGAACCTGGGTCTCAAATTTACTATGGTGATCAGAACTACCTGACCAGGAGGGACTACTTACCTATTATGTGAGAGAAATAAACTCTTATCTTGTTTGGACCATTATATCTTTGAGTCTCCATGCCAGCTACTTAGCCTACATCCTAACAAATAGAATGAAAGAGGAAATTCCCACAAAAAGGAAATATTAATGGCTAACTAATGTGTAAAAAGACAGTCACCTTTTGCGACAGCATGGATGGACCTAGAGATTATTATACTAAGTGAAATAAGCCAGTCAGAGAAAGACAAATACCATATGATCTCACTTATATGTGGAATCTAATAAACAAGAAACTGACAAACAAATAGAAACAGAGGCATGGTATACATGGAATATACTGACAGCTGTCAAAGGCGAGGAGGGATGGGGGCCTGGATGAAAGAAGGTGAAGGGATTAAGTAAAAAAAATTAAAGAGAAAAAAAAAATAAAAAAATAAAAACATATATATACATATATACATATATATATATATATATATATGTTAGACACAGAGAACAGTGTGGTGATAGCCAGAGGGAAAAGGGGATGGGAATAAGGGGAGGTGAGCAAAGGGGGAATAAATGGGGATGGAAAGAGACTTTACTTTGGGTGATGGGTGCACGATGCAGTGTGCAGATGTTTTGTTGAGTTGTACACTTGAAACCTGTGTGGTTTGGGGAACCAATGTCACTGCAATAAATTCAATTTAAAAAAACAATCTTTGCCATGGCCAGTGTGGCTCATGTGGTTGGGCCTCATCTTGTACACCAAAAGGTTGCTGGGTTTGATTCCTGGTCAGGGCACATGCCCTGGTTCAGGCTCGATTGCCAACGGGGGGCTTGCGGGAGGCAGCCAATCAATGTTTAGCTCTCACAGTCTCAGGTTTCTCTCTCCCTCTCCCTTCTTCTCTTTCTAAAAATCAATTTTTTAAAAATCTTTCTCTTTCATAATCAAAGGAGAGCAAATTAAAACCACCATAAAATAAGATTTTGGACACTGTATCAGCAGAAACTAAAAGATTGGTAAAATTTATAAAATATAGCTTTAAACATGAGGAAACCAGCACTCTTACGCTGAAAATGTAAAATGGTACAATCTGTGGTGAAAATAACAGGGTAAGAATGGCCCGGCCTGTGTGGCTCACTGGTTGAGCGTGGAGCCAGGAACCGAGAGGTCATCAGTTCAATTCCTGGTTAGGGCACATGCCTGGGTTTTGGGCTCGATCCCCAATGGGGAGCATGCAGGAGGCAGCTGATCAATGTTTCTATCTATCTCCTCTCCCTTCCTCTCTCTCTAAAAAATCAATAAAAACATATTTTTAAAAAGAATGATTATCACAAAGTTGTATATAAAACAAAAAACTGGAACCAAGGTGGGTTAAGGTAAATAAATTATGATGCCTCCATACAGTGGCATGCTATAGAGCACTAAAAATGATGATTTAACAGACAAATCATCTTTTGTCATGGTAGCAGACCACTTAACTCAGAAGATAAAAATTAGCTTGTGCTCTGGGAAAGCATATATATATATATTTAAATGACATTATCGTTTGGTAAAGAAAATATAAAATTTATTATCTTGACTCTATCACAAGAATCAGATTAATATTATGATTTTATCATTATACTGTAAAGTGCTTTGTTAAACTGAACCAGATTTGATAAACGATAAAACTATCTTTAAAATTAAACTTTAGTTTTACTAGCAGAACCTTGACAGCTTTGAGTTATCAATCTACCACATGGTCGTCTGCAGTGTGGTTCTTCTCAAACTTTTCTCCTGAAATAACTTTTAATACCAGAGAAAATTAAGTATTTACTCCCCAACGATCCTGAAGAAGCCAAAGCTCCCAAAATTTTTAGAATTCTTGTGTTTTATCTTAAAAATTCATGCACATTAGGAATTCTACCCTTTATGTTACTTTTTGTTTTACTGTAACACACTTATGTTTTAAATGGCCTTTTAATTTAATTAGTTAACATGTTCCTCCAAATCCTTCTTGCAAAATCAGCATTGCAGAAAATGTGTCACATCACTCCTGTGGCCTGTCTAGCTGCTAAGTATGTATATAATAAAAAGAACATAAGCTCTGACTTTGCCAACTACTTGTGATATGAAGTTAGGCAAGTTACTTAACCTAGATTAAGGCTCCTTTTTCTCTTTTGTATAATGAAGGTGACAATGTCTAAGTGTAGAATCTTTATATAAGGAAGAGCAATTTTAACAAAGTATACATATTTGTTAAATTTTTATGTTTTACAGCATAATGAACATTTTATTTACATTTTACCTTGTTTTCACTTATGACACGAGCATGATGCATTTAAACTGTCAATTACTATTCTACCAGTTTCCACTTTCTTTAGCAAATAAATTATACCTGTAATTGTGCTTTCCTCAGCTGCTGACTGGTAATTTGAGCTTTTTGTTGCATCATATTTTCAATTCGTTGGTTGACTTGCTTTTCTTTCTTGAGCTCATTTCCATAAAATCTGGACCCCTATGGAGGAAAGCAAAACAAAGCATAAAAACTGTCTGAAGGAAATCATCGCTGTAGAATAATCTGGAGGCTGAGTACAGACCCCAGGATCAGAACAATTAAATTCAAAACTTAGCTCCACTATTTCCAGCTAAGCAATCCTAAAGTTAATCTATGCCTGTTTCCTTGTCTGTAAAATGAATTTATAGTTACCTAAATGATAGTATTGTTGTGAGGCAGTACTAAGCACAGTATAAACTGAGGTGAGTACAGATCTGTGCTCAGAAAATAACAATGTGTCTTAGGCAGGATCCTTGGGGCACATCCAAGGCCTCACTCAGATGGGTCATCAGTTACCTCCTTCACTTTTACTTTAAAAGTATTTTTAAAAATTTAATGTTCGTCATTAAAGAAAATAACTTTCAGAAAATTACCTATCATCCATCCCATCACTGAACATAGTATCTGTCCACTCATCAGGCTAATAGACATTTGGATTATTTTTACTTTTTGGTTATTATAAAAAATGTTGCAATGAATATCTGTGTACATGTTTTTGTGTAGACCATTTCCCTTGGATATGTACCCAGGAGTGAAATTTCTGTGTCATGTGGTAACATGCTAAACCTTTTGGGGAACTGCCAGATTGTTTTCCAAAATGGCTGAATCATTTTACAATCTCACCAGCAATGTGTGAGTTCCAATTTCTCCACATCCTTGCCAACATTTGTCATTGTCTGTCTTATTTATTATAGCCATTCTAGGCTATAATAGTGTGAATGGGATCTCACTGTAATTTTAATTTGCACTTTCCCAATGACTAACGATGCTGAACATCTTTTCATGGGCTTATGAGCAATTCTTATATCTTCTTTAGCGAAATGTCTACATTTCCCCCCCCCCATTTTTTAATTGGGCTATTATTCTTATTAAAGAGTTGTAAGAATTCTTCATATATTCTGAATGTAAGCCCTTTAACTGATAGGTGTTTCACAAATATTTGGCTGCAGAATGTTGCTTATCTTTTTATTAAAATTATTTCAATCTTCACCCAAGGATATTTTTTCCATTGCTTCTTCAGAGACAGTGAAAGGGGGAGAGAGGGGAGGGGGAGAGAGGAGAGAGAGAAAAACACTGATGTGAGAGACACATCAACTGGTTGCCTCCTGCACAATCCTCAACCAGGGCCGGGGATCAAGCCTGCAACTGAGGTACGTGCCCTTGGCCGGAATCAAACCCGGGACACCTTCAGGCTGCAGGCCAATGCTCTATCCACTGAGCCAAACCAGCTAGGGCTATATTTTTATTTTTAAATGGTGTCTTGAGAAGTGCAAACTTTTTGATATTTGGGGAGGTCCAATTTGTCAACTTTTTTTTTATTGACTGTGCTTTTGGTATTGTATCTAAGAAATGTTTGCCTAACCAAAGGTCTCAAAGATTTTCTCCTCTCTTCTAAAAGCTTTATTGCTTGAGTTCTAACAATTAAGTCTATTGAGTTCATTTTTTGAGTATAATATGAGGTGAGAACTTAAGTTCATCTTTTTATGCATGTGGATATCCAGTAGTCCCAGAATCATTTGTTTGAATAGACTATCCTTTTGCCTTGCTACTTTTGTCAAAAATCAGTAAACGATAAAGATTTATTTCTGGACACAATTCCTCTTCATTGTTCTATATGTCCAGCCTTATACTGTCTAGCCATACTGTCTTGATGACTCTAGCGTAAGAGTAAGTTTTGAAATAGGAACGTCAAACACCTCCATGTTTGTTCAAAACCATTTTGGCTATTTTAGTTGTTTTCATTGCCATGTAAATTTTAGGATCTGCTTGTCAATTTCCACAGCAAGCCCCTGGAATTTTGATGAGGGATACTATTGAATGTATAGGTCAGTTTGGGTTGAACTGCCTTAACAACATTAGTCTTCTCATCCTTGAACATGGAATACTGCTCCACTTTTAGATCTTTAATGTCTCTCAGCATTTTTTTTTTTTGGTAATTTTCAGGATACAAGTATTGCATTCCTTTTGAAATTCCTTAGAATTTTCTATATATAAGATCATATCATCTGCAAAGAGAGCTTTATTTCTTCCTTTCCAACCTAGATGCCTTTTATTTCTTTTTATTGCCTGACTACACTGGCTAGAGCTTTCAAGACTGTTGAACAGCCCGGCCAGGCATAGCTCAGAGGTTGAGCGTCGACCTAGGATCCAGGCGATTGGGGTTCGATTCTCAGTCAGGGCGCATGCCCGGGTTGCGGGCTCGATCCCCAGTCGGGGGCGTGCAGGGGGCAGCCGATCAATGACTCTCTCATCATTGATGTTTCTATCTCTCTCTCCCTCTCCCTTCCTCTCTCTGAAATCAATAAAGATATATTAAAAAAAAAAAAAAATTTGCATAAGAGCTTTTCTCTAAAAAAACCCAAACAACTGTTGAATAGAATAGTTAAGATTGGGCATTCTTGCCTTGTTCCTGGTTTTAGGGAGAAAATGTTTAGTCTTTCACCACAAAGTATGATGACAACTACAGGTTTGTTTTTTTTAAATATATATATATATCTTTATTGATTTCAGAGAGAGGAAAGGAGAGGGAGAGAGAGAGATAGAAACATCAATAATGAGAGAGTCATTGATCGGCTGCCTCCACGCCCCCAACTGGGGATGGAGCCTGCAGCCCGGGCATGTGCCCTGACCGGGAATCGAACCCCGATCGCCTGGATCCTAGGTCGACTCTCAACCGCTGAGCCACGCCGGCTGGGCAACAACTACAGGTTTTTATAGATGCCCTTTATTACACTGTGGAAGTTCCTTTCTATTTCAAGAGTTTTTAGCTTTTTCTGAATCTATTGAGATGACCATGTGTTTTTGTCCTGTATTCTATTAATATGGTCCATTACATTAATTGATTTTTGGATGCTAAACCAAACTTGCATTCCTAGGATAAATCCCACTTGGTCAAGGTACATAATAATCTCTTTTTATATACTGTTACATTCAGTTTGCAACAATTTCGCTGAGGACTTTTAACATTTATAATAACCTATAATCTTCTGCTTCTCTGGCTTTGGTTTCAAAGGGATACTGGCCTCGCAGAATGCGCTGGGAAGTGCTCCATCCTACTTTATTTTCTGGAAGAGCTCGTGGAGTATTGGTATTATTTCTTCTTTAAATGTCAGATAAAATTTACCAGTGACCTGGTCTTTTTTTCTCTTATTT